AACAGCGCGCTGGGAAGAACCGTAGACCCGTCCTGACATAGGGGCTGCGTCTAGACTGGCGTGATTTTCCGGAAATGCTTTTAACGGAAAAGTTTTCCGTTAAAAGCATTTGCAGAAAAGAGCGTCTAGATTGGCACGGATGCTTTTCCGCAAAAGCACGTTTTGCGGAAAAGCGTCCGTGCCAATCCAGACGCGCTTTTCTGCAAAAAAGCCCCGATGGCCATTTTCACGATCGGGGCTTTTTTGCGCAAAACAAATCTGAGCTGTCTACACTGGCCCTTTTGCACAAAAGGGACTTTTGCCTGAACGGGAGCAGCATGGTATTTCCACAAGAAGCACTGATTTCAGACAGTAGGAAGTCAGCGTTCTTGTGGAAATTCAAGCGGCCAGCGTAGAGAGCTGGCAAGTTTTTCCCGCAAAAGCAGTTGCTTTCCACGGAAAAACTTGCCAGTCTAGACGCAGCCAGGATGTACCCCAGAGACTTTTAAAATAGCATTTTGTAACATCTCTGCTAAGAGCCTGTGTCGAGAACTGGCTGATCCGATGCACGTCATGTATTATCTTTCACCTTACTCTCCACCTTTTCTTTCTTTTATTACTAACCCTTTAGATTCTACAGGCTTGGCCCAGCGTGGTCTTGTGGGTGAGATCCAGTGTGAACTGACTGGGAACTGTGGCTGGTCTTTTGGGAGCGGGAGAACCTGTTCAGGGTCGGTGAGATTGGGTTCTAGAACCCCTCACCTGTGTGCAGGCCTGGGGCTGATGGGGGCACAGGAAGAGCTGGAGTGTTGGAGGGGTTTTGCTCGTGGCCCTGAGAGGACGCCCTCAGCTGTGCCCGACCCGGCCTGGTCCGCCACAGAAAGCCACTTCCAGGGCCGGCACCAGGCTGCAAGGGCAGGTGGGGCAGGCTGGCTCAGCGGGCCCCACAGAAGCCCGGGAGGGGATGTTCCCCTCAGCCCAGCTCCTTCCCGGGGAGGAGGAAATACAGCGCCGGCCGGGAGCGTGAGCAGCGCGGAGCCAGGCTGAACAGGAGCCAGGGAGCGAGAGCTGAACCTGGCGGGTTCCTGGGGGAAATTAGGCCCAGATATCTAACAGGGAGGGTGATCGGCCAGGGGAGCAAAGAGCCATGGGTCCCCAGAGCCAGCCAGGGGATCGCTGGACAGGCCCAGGGAGGCCGCACACAGGTGCCCCCCACTCCAGGGTCCTCGGGCCCAGCCCTGCCCTTGGGCGTGGCGGATAAACCCCCCCCAGCTCTTTGCTTGCAGCCGGCCAGGTCGCTCTGCACAAGTGACCCATCTCCAGGGACCGTCCCTGGGTCGCCCGGCGAGGGCCCCTGCAGCAAAGCCGCCTGCCTGGTCCTCAAGCAGCCGGGGCAGCAGCTGTGGGCGGGAGCCTGCA